CCCCCCCCCCCCGAGGTTTAGAAAGACACTTTTGTACCTAGATAAACTAGAAAGACAGAATAATGTTACAGTAGAAAAGTGCATTGTAAATGGTTTAATAGTTTTGATTTTCTGTCCTGGACAAATAATGTGTTGTTTGATTAGGGGGATGCGGATGGGGGGAACAGCAGTATCAAGTTCTGCTAGGCAGAAGAATTTTCAGTGTAGCCAAAATCTTCTTCAAGTGAAGCTCAACGCATCCATGAAATTTATTTCACAACAGTATGGTAGTGATCTGCCATTGACTTCTTCCAGGGGTTTTTGACTCCCAGTACAGCCTACAAAGAACAAAAGGCAATATATGAATCAATGTATGTATGCAGTAGAATGAAGGATGGTTTGCAAAGACAGAAAGTTATGGAGCGATATAATTAATATTGGTGTTAACAAGTTGGATAACCTTTATCTCATGTCTTTTACTCAGTTCACTCTTTTTCTGTGCTTTTCATAATGTTCTCTGCTTTGAAAGAAGAACATGGTCAGTACATGTGCAATCTTGTCTACTTATGTATGTATGCAGTAGAATGAAGGATGGTTTGCAAAGACAGAAAGTTATGGAGCGATATAATTAATATTGGTGTTAACAAGTTGGATAACCTTTATCTCATGTCTTTTACTCAGTTCACTCTTTTTCTGTGCTTTTCATAATGTTCTCTGCTTTGAAAGAAGAACATGGTCAGTACATGTGCAATCTTGTCTACTTCCATGGGATTTCAACCCGTCTTAGTATTTGGATGTGTCCTAAGGTGCTGCCACCTCACCAGAGAAGATTCTAGGAACTCCCTGTTCATTTTCCCTTACAAGTTCCAGTTTTATTTGAATCCAGTGCTTCATTGTCTCAGAAAAATACACCATGAATATTTGTAGCTGTCCTGTATTTTCTGACTTAGCCAAATTAGGTTCCCTATATTTTTTTTTCCTATGTCATCATAAGTAGCCTTTGGTTAATTATATAGCTTGCAAGAATGTTTAAATGTGAGTTGTGAGTAGAGGACAAAATAACACAGATTCAAGAGATAAGTGACCAGATTTTTCAATGTCTTGTTTTTTCCAAATGAATCAAGGAGGGGGAGATATGGATTGGCTCCATAGTGTGATGACAGAGTTTAACTTTTCAATGATTCCTTCCCTTTCTGGCCATAACAGGTCCTTAAAATGGAAGAAACTGAGTCATGATTTTGAGTTATCTTCTTTTAGTACTTCCTGAGCAATGGTCAATGTTTAACAATGAACGAGTGTCATTAATTATAATATTTATTGCATTCCATAAGTAACAGAATCCAGAGCTGCTCAAGAATAAATAACCTTTATTTTCAACTTCATACAGATGAGAACTGCCAAAGCAGATGGAAGGCTTCAGAAATCATGAAATTCCAAGTTTATACTACCAGATCTTTGAACTGCAATGTATTATAACATATCACCCTTTCTGAGGGAGTAGTCCACATGCAAGACAAGTTGAATGCAATCCAACATACCAGGGTTGCTCTAGCTGAGAAAATATTAATGGACATACACATTGGCTTGCTTACAGTATAGTCCTAGACCTATTTACTCAGAAGTGAACTATAAAATTTATTCCTACATGCTCATAAGATTGCAATCTTAATTGCAATCCTGTGACTACTTATGAGAAAGTAAACTCAACTGATTTGAAAAGCATTCTCTTCTGAATAGCCAAAGCACTTTTAAGGTTATTGTTTCCAGTATCAGAAAGATGTAAAAACTAATTTTTGAGTATCTTAGAAGACTTGGAATAATTTCACTATCCCAATATTCTCATTCTCATTCCCTCCCTCCCTCCCTCCCCCTTTTTTTTGGTTTTTTTTTTTTACAAATTTGTATTCCAGGCTAACCTCCTAAATAATTACAGATTTCCTTTTATGAAAAAGGACTAAGATGTAAGCAAGGGAGATATCATACCAATCTCATGCACTAAACTGCTTAAATAAAAAATGTTATGTTTGCCCAGAACAGGAAATAAGCTAATATGCATCTCTCAGAACAGATTTTCTAAAGGTGGATTCATTGAATTTGACAGGGTTGAATTCTAAATCAGATTATTGAGAATATATTTCATGCTACAAAATTTAATCAGACTATGAAATGAAGGGCTAATTATTATCCTTCCCCATTATGTAGTAGTTGCTATATTCATCTCTTCCTGCACGATCCTCAAAATCCTAGGTCTATTGAACATATTCACACATATTTACCACTTTTTTGATTATGGAAATTGGACCTCACACCAGGACTGAGTATGTACACAGCTCTCTTATCTTGCCTATCATGGAATACTGCTGATGGTAAACAGTACATGCATGCCCTTATGTTATAATGGATACAGGGTGGCCATGTAATGCATGAACTGGCAAATGTGTCCAAGACATGAATGTAGGTCTGCAGCAAATCCGCAGAAAACAGTGAGAAAACATTTTAGACAACAGTATTCATATATTACAATCAGTAGGAAAATAGGAAGTTTTTTCTTCAACCTGGTTAGAGTCTTTCCGAAACGTAACTTTTAAATTCATATAGCATTTGATTTGCATGATTCCCATTAGCTTCCAACATTTTTGCTTAAGCATGATGAAGACTCAGATTTACTTTTCTTTAATGATGCTTTATTCGGTTGCCATTTGCTCACCAGTTGATAATAATGACCTTGGAGGTTTGGGGTAGTAACCAGCAGTTACTGAGCTATTTGAAGAAAATCTGGTGAATTGATAATCCAGTGGTAAATCTGAAAGAAACAAACACATTTATTATGAATTACACTTACATCACATCTAAATAATTCCAGAAGTTCCAATGAAAAATATTGATTTCTTAAGCTCTTTTATCTGTTTGCTTAATGTCACAACAATTTAATCAGACCACAGGCTTACATATTTTGTCTAGAGTTTACATGCCTGAGAGATAAAAAAGGTATATTTTGCTTTTCCTTCTGTGAATATCATTGTTTAAAATAAAGCAAAGGTGATTCTACATAATTTGAAATGTGCATCTTTTAGTAACAAATTAAAATATATTGTGTCACATATGCAGGCATAGCATGAACCATTATAATAAATAATATACCTGCTAGCATCTCCAAGAAAATGGCTTTTGCATTATATATACTACTTTGCATTAATTATTTAATATGAATTTTAAAAGAGCAATATCATGCTTCCCATAATCATATTATGATTACAACTTTGGACTTTCTTTTCTTACAATAAAAAAGTACATTAATCTGAAGTGTCCATGGTTGCTTTTATTGCAGTGGCTACATAGCTACTGTCTGGAAAAAGAATAATGTGGGCAAATAAAGATTTCTTCTAATATTCTCAGGAAACTTTGATAATTAAGAAACTGATATCTTATTTACAACAAACTACTCTGCAACTGAACACCAGTTGCATCCAGATCCTGTAATGTTCAGGATAACTTGTTCAGATAACTAATGTAAATATTAAAGATAAGCCCAAATTCTTAAAAGAACATCATTATATATTGCAATTAATTGCTTAAAAGAATATATTATCTCTTTTCTGATTCCAAGCCCAAACCTACCAATTTCACAAGAATCTAAGTGTAGGTCACATTTTATCCATAAAATGGAATATTTTGGTTTGAATGATCTACCATTATTTTTGCTCCCTTATTTATTAGTAAGCATTATTTCTATAGACACCTTGATGCTTACATTGATAGGATGTACTGTATATTCTGATTTAAACATGTCTCATATTTTCACCAAGCTTAGTCCGTACCTTCTAAAAGTGCCTGATACTGCGTGGGAAGATAAACCTGTGAAACTGGTAATTGTCCTGCATAAGTTTCTGGAGGGTTGGAAGAATAAAATACAATGTAATATTTTGTTTCTATGGTGTAATCTATGAATTGTGACCTTCACTGGTATGGCTCTCTGCTTGTGCTAGTCCTGCAATAATCGTCACTGCAGTCAGGGTAAGAGGACTGGGGGGCGGGGGGGGGGAGGACCAGCCTAGCTAGGAATTTTTTTACCCATTTCAGTACTGAAGGCGATACCAGCACGAGGACTTTGTCCTTAAGAGAAAACAGAAAAAGAACAATTGATTCCACATGAAGAACTGATAATATTCTGTTTCTTCTTAGATTTAGTCATACTAAAATGGAAATGCCAAGTATGCAACACCAATATGACTGTTTGGTGCTTTGGGCATTCTTTACTACTTTTAAAAAAACGCTCTTATATTCTTTGTCACTGACTGGGTACACTTAAATCAATGTTATTTCTCAAGGATCTGATGCTTGCTGGCAGTTGAATCTATTACAATGGGTTGTAGTAGCCTATTTGTGGGAATATTTGTCCAACTTCAATCCTTCAGCTTAATGGGAAATTTACAACTGAGAATTGTCTCCTTTTATAAATCAACTTGTTACAAAATGATGCTGAAATCTTTGCCTAGCAATTTTTTTTTTTTGCTCAATAAACCTTAATGTTTCTTCATATGCTACATACAATTCTTTTTGAAGCTTTTCTTGTCTTGCAGCCTGTTTTTTTCTCCCCTATTTTTAGGATAAGGGTGTACTGCCTGACTTCATTACTTCCCCATAGGATTGACAAGAACTGTTCTATTTTTGCTGACTTTTATTTTCAGAGTTTTGTTATAATGTGAGAGACATCCAATCCTCTATTCAGAAGACCCAAACTGGAGGCTCCCCGCTGTAAAAATCCTAAGATCTTTCTGATCTTATTTTTTTTACCATAATAGGCACAAGGCTGCATGCCTGAACTCACTGGGTGAGTTGACAATTTGAACATCACCATCCAAGATAGCTTCTTGCAGAATACTGAGATAGAGTCAGGCTTCACACAGGCTTGGCTGTTAATTTTGACTCTCCAGAGATTTAACCACTTCAGGAATTGATTTATGCTGCAGAATACTCACCGATACTACTCAGCAAGTTTAGTGTTTTTATTGCAGAAAAGTATGAAGAAAAGAAAACTTCTTCATAGCACTGCACAGAAAAAAAAGCCCTTAGATAGGTCTATGCTCCTGGGTTTAAATGTTAGGCTTTTCCCCCTCCCACTCTGCCAGGTCAATGGATATTTGGCCATTCTCGTCCATATTTGGTAAGATACCTCACATAATGGTTCTCTATATGTGGGAACTGCAAGTTCCTGCCCTCACCAGCCTCATTCCTTATCAATAAAGCTGGATTTATACTTCCATGGTGTGCATACTTTTGTGTGGTGCAGCAGACTTCCTGAGCTGGTGCACAGCAGACATTCTAGATTACATACCTCCCAGACAGCATGGCCATCAAAGAAGCCACCTGGGGATTATGAGAACTGTAGTGCATTGAGGGCATTAGCCACTGTTTTCAGCCTGTGCCTCCAGATAGCCTTCCTGCATTTATTGTACTTATTTTATTGAAAACTTCTATAAGTCATGGCTCGCAGAGCAGTTTATGAATTAAACATCAGCAAGTACAAAAATCAAACAGCGTATTGTGAATAGCCAGCCTGTTTTTACAAGACTGCTGTGCCAGCCTTTCTTATGAGACAAGCACAGACATTTCCAGTATACATCCTCCCAGGCAGATTTCCCCAACCTACATCTGCAGGAGGAAAAATTACATGCCTTGGGTCATGTACAAAGTCAGATTACCCAAACCTGTCCCTTTCTGCTGGAAGGAAAAATGGTTTGTCTTTTTAAATCAAAGGGATGAGTTGAGAACTGAGGCTGAGAAGAGAAAATGGGACATCTTTCGTCAATCCAGCAGCCTCAGTATAAAATGAATTATAATCCTTTGGGATCTGGAAGAATCCAGGAAGAACTGAGACGGAGGAAAATCTGTTTCAGTAAAAACAACGATTTTGAAAGGATAGGCAAAAAAGTGGCTAGAAATACTGTGCAAGATTACTTTTAATTTCTTCTGTGCATGTCTACTTTATTTTCTTTGGTGATTATTTTCTCTGCTATTTCTGTTCACTGAAATGAACATGCTCAGTAAATTGCAGGCTTTTATGCTACTTGGAACTTCTTTACAGTAGAGTTCTTGTAATTGAGGGACAAACATTAACTTGTATTTGGCCAGAAATTTATACAGGTAGTCCTCACTTAACAACCACAATAGGGACCAGAAAATTGGTCATTAAGTGGGGTGGTCATTAATCAAAGCATCACCTGACTGCACCCAATTTTATGACCCTTTTTCTGGTGGTTGTTAAGTGAATCATGTGGTTCTCCATTAATTTTGCTTGCTGGAAGCTGGCTGGGAAGGTTGCAAATGGCAATCATGTGACTCTGGGACACTGCAACCATCATAAGTGCGAACTAGTTGCCAAGCGCCCAGATCACAATCAGGTGACCATGGGGGTGCTGTAATGGTTGTAACTTCGGGCACCGGTCGTAACTTTTTTTTAGCACTGTCATAACTTTGGACGGTAGCTAAACGAATGATCATTAAGCGAGGACTACCTGCACCCTTTATGTTTTGTATGGAAGATCCTTTTAATTCATGACGTGATTTGAATAACTCTGTATCTTTATTTCTTTGCTACTGTATGTTTTACATTTTACTGCTTAAAGATGAAAAGGGACATTTGCATTTTATTTTTTTAAAGAAATCACATTTGATTCTATTTATACCTTGTGAGATAGATCTGCCTCCCAAGGGAGGTGGGAGATTTCTCTAATCACTCACCTCAGTGATATAGATCAGGAAATGGACCAATGGAAATTATTTAATTTTTTGTCAGTTTTTCCTTCTATTTGCTGGTAAGCACATAACATATTGGGAGACACTCTTTCTCTCTCTCTCCCTCCCCCCCCACCACAGAGTTTTGTGGGAGGATGCCAGGTTACCCAGGACTATTTGAAGCTGCAGATTGACCACTTTCTCAACAATTTTCTGTAAGCAGGGAAGATTGGATCCTGGATGAAAACTGTCCCCAATGGTTTGGTCCAGCATTGGCTTCTTGAGGAGGAGGTGTACCCCTCCCTCCCTCCCTCCCTCCCCATCCATCCATGAAGATGACACTACAGTATGGACTCAACTATGTGCCACCTCCTGGGAACCATTAACAAGTCAGGAGAGGCATGAATCTAATACTGTAAATAGGTGATTGGGTTAGCAATCCTGATGATCCTGTCCAGTTTTACAGGAATCATAGGAGCAAACTCTTCCCAGTTTGTCATGCCAGACCATGCTTCTGTCATCTTGATAGGACCAACCCAGTCAGAGTCCAACTCAAAGAGAATCTGAGTGGCTTTATCTGCCAGTTGTCTAGAATATTCTCTACCATGACCCTGTAGATGGTTTGCATCATGTCCTTCTCCAGCAAGGAGCAAGTCACCTTAAAGAGGGCTGCTGAGTGGCTGACAGCAGACATGATGAGAGCAGAACAATAGTTATATTTTGCTACTCTTATTGCCATGATGTAATCTGTCATGTGGGCTCTTACTTGTGCTCAGTTGGATTTACTCTTTGTCTTCCTCCAACAGTGCACTAGGCATCTCTTCTGATGTTTCACCTTTTGGGGTTCCTCAGAAAACCAAGGAGTACCCCAAAACCAATGTACTGTGAGAAGCTGCATAGGAGCAATCTAGTAAGGTCTTTGTACTTGCCCATTCCAAACTGCCCACCAGAGCATCAGAAAAAACCTGAGGATTTCAGACGCTGAGCAGCTTACCCAGCCTATTCCATAAATGAGGTTTTATATATAGTACTGTACACACACACACACACACACACACACACACACACACACCATTTTACATTTCTCCAGTGAGGAACCATACAAGAACTCCACTTAAATCAAAATCTTAGACTGCAAGAGGTAATAACATTCATAACATATCAGGGCCAAAGGCCTGTTGGAAAAGCCAGGTTTTAATAGCTTTCTAAAACCCAGCAAGGTTGGGGTTATACTAATCTTGGGGGTTGGGGGAGGAGGAGGCAGTGACTGAAAAGAAAACTGCCTCTAAGATGTGTGCAGATGACATTCTATGAGAGAAGGACTTGAAAAATCTTATTGGTCAGGCCCTCCACTCCCACCCCTGTGTTGGAAGTAGTTCAGCACCATGGCCACTGCCAGCCTTTGACTCCAGCAGGTATTTTGACAACTCTTGCAGCCACTGGACTTACAATCATGAATGCCACAATGGCTCCTTAACCCCTCATGTTTCCAAAGGATGCTTCAGCCTTTGCCATTGTTCTCTTGTTGTTGCATTACTCTCACTCAGTACTGGGGATGGACTGTCCTTCCTTTGATTCTCCTCCTCCTCCAGGAATACTAAATTGGTGGTGAGAGTGAGAAGTCCAAAAGCATCTCAAAAAAGCGAGTGGCAAACCCCTTCTATGCTGTTGCCAAGGCAACCACACGGAGGTGCCTATGTAGCCACCAGGAATTGAACTTTGAGTGCGTTTTCCTTTATCTTCCTGTGTGGGCTCAAACACACACACACACACACACACACACACACACAAATATAATAATAATTGCTAAAATGGAAAAGAACAATAATTGTAGAGAAAATATATATGAAGGATTTTAGTCCATATCTACTCCTTCTTCTTCTCAATATATGATTCATGGTTATGAAATAAAACAGACTATTGGGGATGGACAAGTTCAATACTAGACCACTTGATGTTTTGCATAAAAATCATTATTTAAAAAAAAATGCTTTACTCATGGGTCTGCTATTGGAATAATTTTTGTGGGAGAACATATCTATACACTTTAATGAAGACACAAACACTTACTCTTCACTGTTCACTTTTCCCTTTCTCAAACATGGTAGTACAGTATTAGAATTTATTCTGGCATTTACAATGAAAACCTATAAATATTTACTCAAAAGCAAGCTTGTGAGAGGGCAATCAATAACAGATTTATCCTGGGGAAATCATTAGAATTCTGATCATCTATATTAATCTGATATTAACACAAAATTGACTTTAAAATTAATGGTTTGAAAATTCCAGGGATTGATTCAGGATCATTATTCTTACCTGCTATGGCTTCAATGCTTGGGATTGTAATTGTGCTATAAGTATTAACAGATTTGCAAGACCATGTATTTACTAAGATTTCCTCTGCATCCTCCTTTCCTGAAATAGTATCCACAAAGAAAGAACCCCACTGTTTAGAAACAGAATGGAGAGCTTTGGGTTGATGTCCCTGGAATATAAACAAACACTAAGTTAAATAGAAAATCCATATGTGCTCTTATACTTTCATATGGTTTCTTTGTGAACGGGATCTCTCTAATATTCAAGGCATTTTCACACACAAAAAGAAACTTGGTGAATTCTCTGAGAAGTCCCAATAATAAAGTCAGTCAAGAAACTCTGGAGCCTCTCCCAGGCACAAGAAAATATCACACTTCCAAATTCAAAAATTTCCAGTACATTAAAGAAATTCTGATCACGACAATTATTTTGTCTGTATATGACCTGTGGTGATAAAACCATATTTACTTTGATATAATATAATATACTTTGTTTTGTTTATTATTGCTTTCACCAATTCTGCAGGACAATTGACAATCCAGTTCACAATACATAATCCGTTTGATTTAAAAAATTAAGATTTGGGAAAAACCTGCATGAGAACAGAGACATATATGAAAAATAGTGAAATATGTTTAAACCAGTGAAAAGATTACTGTTTTTTCCCCAAGATCATACCAAGGGGGATTTGAATGTTAGTGAATAAATATTAAGGAATGTTAGTAGGAGGCCCAGAGATGGATTGTTTATTGCTTTTGGTACTGGTGGAGTGAAAGTGATGGAGCTGGTGGCTAGAATGGCCACGGTGGGTGTTGGTGGGGGAACAAGCTCTATCGGAGAGAGCTGGGATGCTGGAGAGCCAGAGCAGAGACTGGAGTCAAGACGGATATTGTGCTGAGGTGCTGGGAGGTGGATGTTGACCTGCTGGCCACACTGAGGAGGATTAAATTTCCAGGTTTTTAGAATGGAGCCTCGGCCTGGGACTTGCACGTGCTTACTGGCACCAGGGAGAGGAAGCCCAGTGGAGATTTTTTAGCTTGGGGAGCAGGGTGGAGCTGAGATGGCAAGACTTTTGATCCTCCGGAGGAGAACAATATCCCGAGGCATGATGGTAGGAAGCCGTGGAAGTGGCATTTCTTTGAGGAATGTTTCTGTTACTGATCGAAGGTCTGTGGATGTCCAGGCATAGATCTTCTTTGCCTGTGCCCAAGTCTTTATCAAACAAGATCACTCTGGTCAGCAGCAGGGAATGCCTGTTGCACTGCCTATCTCATTGTTAGACTCAGGGTTGGGGTTGGGAATTAGGGACAGAACTGTACCAGTGGTTGGCTCCAATACTTCAGGGCTAGCAGGGGGGAAGCAGATTGTGTGGGTAAGAGGTATGATTATGTAGCTACTGAGTGCCAGAGAGCAGCAGCTTTGGGGATGCTGTGGTCTGACACTGGGGGTGGGGTTTTGTACGGAGTCATGGAGATGACCTTGGAGAAGCCATCCAGAAGCCATTAATATAACAACAGGTGCAAAAGCATACATTAAGCCTAGGAAGGTGAGAAGTATTAGAAAGGGACTCAGCCTGGCTCCCTTAGATTCCCTGGGGTGTAAAAGGGAGGGAAAGGAAAACACAGGCAGACTTGCAAGATTATGTATAGCCTATTTCAATAAAATATATTTCTAGCCTTCCTGTGGGGTCAGTTTCCTCATCTGGTCTGCCTCATAGGGCTAACAGGTATGCAGTTGGTTCTGGAGTGTGAGGTTGGGGGCCCTCATGGCCTTGCAAGGGGAGGGGAGGGTTTAAGGTGGGTTTGAGATGGAAGGAGTGAGGGCAGACAATAACATCAGGGTGATGATAGGAAGAGAGAGATGACAAGAATATGAAGATGAGGCATTCCTGAAGAGGACGGTGGCAATGGCTGAAACTGATCCTGACTTCTGGCCCCCAGTATTCATCTGATACTAGGTCACTGGCAGCCCTGGTCTCTGATTGTTCCTACTAAACACCAAGTCATCTACAGTTTGATTGTGGATGGGGCAACTGACCTGGCATGTGTAATTGAGAATTGGGTTGGCCCAGAGGGGAGTGTTCCCCTTTCTGAAATATGCACACAATTGTCATCTCGGAAGTCCTAAACTCTGTGCCACAGATAATCACATGGTAGAATCCAGGTTCTAAGAAGCAGCTGTACTAGCCTCCCTGCTGCAGAGCAGCATTCCTGCCTATGCTGCTTGACCCCATTGCCAGGATGGCAATGGAATCTCCAAGACTGATATTCCTTGGAGATTTTAACCTGCCCTAGTGTGGCATTAGCATCAGTCCTTTAGCATAGTCAAATCACTCTCTGGTTAGCGCTTGGTTTGCTGGCACTGTCTCCCTTCCCCGTGCAAGGAGGTTGGACCTATTAGACTATCTACCCCAGGAGGCTAATGGCACCTAGCAGGTTTCATAGGGACCATATTTTTTTTTCTCTTGAGGATCTGGTAGGCAGCTTGATTGAGGTCTTAATCTCTGCCTGGAATAGGCATGTGACAAGGGCCTTGACTGGATTGACTCTATGTGGCCTCTCCTTATTTGTTACTTCCAGGGGGCTACCTGATTTTTCAAAAAGCTTTGGGACATGATGACAGAAGAGACCCTTAGAGCACTGTTGGAGAAAGGAATAGAGTGAATTGTGTAAGAGCTTACATTAGGAATTTCACTGTGACAATAAAAGGGCAAAATATATCAATTTGTCTGATCTTATTGTGTCTATAGATAGCCAGCCAGCAGCTCTTTTTAAGGCAAACTGTTCCCTGCTAAGGAGGGAGGGGCCATAAGAACATCTCGAGGGCTGCTGTGAAAAATATTCTAGGCATCTGACAAATCACTCAGATCTGTTCAAAGTTGGATTCTGGGCAAATCTGGGTTGAGGAATTGAGGCATGGTCTTGCTTAGTTATTTGGGAAGAATTTGATCTGGTAACTCCTGTGATGGAATGTATCTACGAAGGAGGGGGTGCTGTGGTGGACTGCAGAAGAGAGCAAGGTTATAAGGAAGGAGGGGGCACATTTCAGGAAGGGCAGAGAGACAAAAGACAACACAGCCTAGAGATGGGGCATGGGAAGTATAAGAGGTTCAGGATAGCTACTCTCTAGAATCTCCCAGGGTATATCCACTAGTTGCAGTACTATGGATTTAGTTGGCAAGATTCTGTCTATCTGGTATAAGCAATAAAAGAACTGAATTTGGATGAACTTTTTCCTTGCTGTTCTTGGATTGGGCCTGACAACTGATGAGGTAATGGACAAGATCCTTGCCCCTGTTAATTTGGCCACCCATGCCCCTCCTGATTGAAGGCCTCTTGGAAGGTAACATGGTTGGGTCCATGCGGTGGTTACTTCTCTGAGGGACAGGTGGTTCTACCTACTGGGAAGGAGTTGTGGTGTGCCCCCACCCCAAGAGACATTGTTGGATCCTACAATCCTAGGCAACTTTTGTTCAGTCTCTAATCTCCTGTTTCTGGGGAAAGTTGTTGAAGGTGGTTGAGCTGCAAATTCAGAGGGCCCTGTAGAAAATGAGTTATCTGGATCCTTTTCAGTTGGGTTTCAGGTCACAGCATGGCACTGAGACAGCATTGATTGCACTTGCTGATGACCTCTGGTGGAGCTAGGATGGGGATGGTGTGACCATCCTGAATCTCCTTGATCTCTCTGTGGCCTTTGATACTCTCAATCAGGGCATCCTTTTGGGCTGACTACAGCATGGGCATGGTGTTCTGGTGGTTCTCCTCCTTTCTCCAGTTCCAGTTGACAATACTGTGTTAATGTTAATGGGAGGGGAGAGACTGAGTCCAAACCTCTTGACCTGCAGGGTGCTACAGGGCTATACTCTTGCTCCTCCTGTTTAACATGCTTTTTCTGTTGCAGTGCTTGCCCTCTGAGCTTTTTCACTGAAGAGAAATGAAAAGTCTTTGGACATGAAGACCCTCAAGAGAATGATCAGAGCTCTCCACTTGTGGGCACCGGAACCTCCATATAATAGTTAACATAATGATTTATCCCACGTTTTTCAGTTTAGCTAGTTCAAAACCAAAACACTGGCACAGAATCTATTTTGCATATATGTTAACATGAATGTAGTAATGCAATTGTAAACTATAGAACCACATACTACGGATTAAAGTCCATAGCTCAAGGTGGTTTACTTCAGAGTCTCCCTTCACTTTATCCCTACAACAAAAACTCTGTGGGATAAATTGGGGTCAAAGGGACTGACTGGAAGAAAGTCACCTATCTCTGACTGGGGATGGGGGCTACCATTAATCTGCATCATGTAATAGTACCAGTATTACTGAGAGAACTATAAACTAATGTGACAAGAACTGGCTGTGTGTGACATACCCACACATTGCTTTTTACAGAAAGAACAGAAAAGTGTCCTTCTCTGATTCCTGTAAAACTAAACCAGGGGAGATTGAGATAGTCTTAAAATAAACTTTGTATAGAAGTCAATAGAAAATGCCTTTGAACTATCCAGTTTCCTTGAAAGACATGAAAAATACTTATTATCACCATCCTGTGCTGCAAGTATTTATTTGGAATAAGAATAAGGGGTGTGTTTCTCTTCTTTCCTAGTTTTGCAAAACAAAGGAAGGAAGCCATAGCCAAATACAGTTCATTTATCTTCCAACTTTGATGTACTTCTTCAGAAATAAAACAAAAGGATGAAATACATTTTTAATGACATGAAAGGCAAATAATATATCATAATTATTAAGCAAAATTATTTATTAATTCTTTTAGGGCATATAACGTATGCCAATTTTTTGCCTTATTTATTCTATAATCTTGTGAAGTAGATAATTATCTGTAATTTACTGAGAAGGCAGCAAGGTTCAGGCATTCATTCTCAGCCATTTAGTAAATTAATGGGTGGGTAGGGATTAGAACCTACAACTAGAATCTTTAAGCCGAAGAGGACCACAGTCATTTTAAATAATTTTCAGTACAGGTAACCCTCAGTTAACTATTGCCTTGTTCAGTGACCATTTGAACTTACAACTGCACTGAAAAGGTAGATTTACGACAGGTCCTCAGACTTACAGCTGTTGCAGCATCCCTGCAGTCATGTGATTGCAATTTGGGTGCTTGGCAACTGGCACATAATTACGATGGTCACAGTGTCCCGCAGTCACGTGATCACCATTTGTAACCTTCACAGCTGGCTTCCAACAAGCAAAGTCAATGGGGAAGCTGGCAGTAAGCTGTAAGTCGCAAGTCTCAGTCACAGGATATCGTGCTTAACGACTCCAGGTGATTCACCTAACCGCAGCAGAACTGAAGTTGTAAGTAAGGCATGGTCACGTGATGTTTCACTTAACAACTGTGTTGCTTAGCAATGGAGTTGCTGGTCCCAACTGCAGCTGTTAAGTGAGACTACTGTATCTGATATCTTGTACTAAGCCAGTAATTTCAGTATTTAAAAACCAAGCATTTCCTTCCAATTTTAGTGTCCCAAATATGTGTTTATGCATATATACATCTCTCTCTCTTTCTACAAGTGTATATCACAGCAGATGGCATTACCTAGCTGTCCTTGACAGCAACGGCAAATTACTTCTATATCGTTGTCAAGAAAACAATGGTTAAGATTTGAGAGAGGGTTCATAAAATTTTTTTTTTGCTATATATACCTCATGTAGTAATTAAATGCACAGGCTAGAATGGAAAACCTTAAGTTCTAGTCCTGCCTTAGGCGTGAAGCCAGCTGGGTGACTTTGGGCCAGTCACTCTCTTTTAAGTCTAGGAAGAAGACAACAGCAAAACACTTCCAAAAAAGGTTGCCAGGAGTCAAGAATGAGAGGCTACACACACACATATAGACATAGGATATGGAATATTAATGACAACAATTTTTCAGCAATCCATCAGGAAACTGTACATATAGGTTCCATTGAAATGCAGGGCTGACCCAGAATATTATGTCCAATGACATGAGAGCTAAACCAGCACCTGCTTCTTCTTAATTTCAGGTACAGAAATTAAATTATCAGATTAGAATCTTGCTTCCACTCTATGGACAAGAGAAGACCTTTTACCTTACATGAAGTGCCTTTTCCTTACTGAAGTGAAAGGCTTGTTTAGGAGACCTAGGACAATCTATACCATATCCAGCACTTCTCCAATACTGGGAATAGACAGCAAGTTAGGAAGTCTTGCTGGCGTGGGGTTGCTGCCTACATCCCCCAGTATCTATTATTTGAGGTGCTGGCTTCATTCTGACAAAGAGTAGTTTTGGCTCTGTTAAAATAAAACTATCATACTATCATGTAGCTCCCACCAGAGTTGGTGCAAGACAGCTTTGAGCTGGTTGTGTCTTTAGTGAAAGTGAATACAGCAGGTCTGCAGATTTAATAATGAAAGAAGAATGAAAAAAGGAGCAGTATGTACCCTGGCTATTGCTTTTGCAAAATAAATTATTCTGTTATCCGAAGATGTATATTTCCTGAAGGAATGAAGGAGATCTGCATGTGTAAACAAATTTATTAGCTGCTTGATTCTAATGCATTTCCAACTGCAAATGAAAATGTAACCCATGCTGGATGCTGTTTCTCTGCATTGCATTGCTCTGTAATGCTTCTAGATATGAATTGGAATACATATATCTGTCATATTTGGGCTGAAGCATTGATAAATATCTTTTGGAGTGCAATTAGGCTTGGATCCAGACAATGTTAATGCTACCAGAGAATCTGCTGGTAGCGGCTCTGTGCTATGTCATCCCCCACATAATGGAGGAAGAGCTGAGTTGTACCAGATTATCCTTACCTCATACTTTCCTTTCTTCTCTAAGGGTTCAGACCCTGACTCTTTAGGCACCACAGCATTATCCTCTCTGAGCTCTTCTAAGATAAGGACAGTCTCCCAGTTACAATAGTGACGAGCCGAGAAAATATCTGAGTGCATGCTATCCCCAAAGTAAACGACCTGGAAATAAGGAAACACAGCAATTGCATCCAATAAATAAATAGCTGTATTGGAACTTTCAGCCCAGTCTTTGCGGATCATCTGGAAATCACCTAGGATCTACCAGTGAATCCCAAACTAACTTCTATTATCCATGACTTAAAATATGTTAATAATTACTAATTAAGGTCGCAATCCAATGGACACTGACTTGAGAATAAAATACACTAAACACAGTTGGAATTTCTTTAAAGGTAATCATGCATTAAATTAGGCTATATGCACCTTGTATTAAATATTAAAAATGAATATGATGCAGAATGGTTGCTTGTATTTCCTGTTAGCCGGTGGCATTTATATAATTGTCATTACTGCAGCTTACTACTGGGTCTATTTCCTTGGAAAAACTGGTCTCTGATAAGTTGAATTTGTGTTGCTGTTGGGAAAGTCCTCTTATGAGGCTCTGCTATGACGCCTTAACTTCTGCTTTTTAAATACCTTTGGTTCTACTTTGCCAGTCATCTTCTTCAGCAACTCATACAAATGGGTTGAGTTACCTTGGGAGTACCAGCCAGGTTTGTCCAGGGTTGGGAGAGCCTCTTGTTCCTCATCATTCTCTGAAATATAAAGCAAATTTATTTATTTTAGTGAAAATGCAAAAAAAAAAACAAACAAAAAAAACCTCTCCTCTGAAATAACTAATACAAAGACGCATTGAACAGACTTAACTCTAAGAATATACCAAAGGATACCTACATCATTTCCCACAAATTATAGTTTGCCTTGGTGTTTCTCATCTTCTGGTTGAGTCACCAACAATGTTTGTAGCCTCCTTGAGAAAGCTTTAAAGGAAGGGGCCTTAAGATTATACAACAAGTTACAAATTTGTACAAGGTACAAATGCTGCGCCTTTACATTAGTAATATGTATCTCTGATAGCCTGAATGCATCCTACAGTCATGAAATGAGTGGGACATGTAGTCTAGAATCCCAGGAATGAAGCTGTCAATATGCAAAGTATGTTGATTGGTTTTCCTGGAATAAAGCTGGTCACAAACCAGTCATGACTTTAAGTAGCTCTTATAACATGAACAAGGATTACTTCCAGACAAAACAGCTATTTTTTAGGGGTTCTCTATCAAATGGATAAAAGGAAGGGCAAGCCTAAACAACAACAGTCTCAAATCCTTCATTTAAGCAGAAAATTGCTTTCCTTTCATTCTTTTTTGCATAAGCAACCATTGGTGATGTAGACAAAGATGTGCTATTCTTATTATTTCCTGGTTTATTTCTCTGCCTGATTCAGGAACATCAATCACGTCTTTGTTCTATTGATTCAGCTATATTGTTCAGCAAACAGAGTGCTATTTTAAAACACTTTGTTGTGGAAACTTTGGAAATATTTAAAGAGGAAAAACAACTTTTAGGTGTAATCCAATGAGAACAGTCAATACTCCAGGGGCCAGAACACAGCTGCATATTGACACACCAGCACTCGCTTTCAGAACGGAACAGCCGTTCAAAGTTCCCCAGCAATCACCTCTCTGATGTTGCAGCTCTGAGGTTATGAGAGTTGAGAAGAGAATTGGCGGGGGAAGATAGTATCAGCATAACATGGAAGGCTTTGAATCTGTGTGAACCAAAGCTCTCCCAGTACCTCAGTAGAAAGGAAATTTGAGAGTCCTGCACCAGTTTCAAGCTCCTTGATACTGCTTACAACCTGAAGAAAACTGTTCTTTAAAAATGACAGGAAAGACAGCCTTTCTGAATATTAGGACTCAAACAATGGAGCACTCTGATCTGAAGGGGGAATGGTTCTGCCATCTTTCTATCTTAATTGCTGAATATTAATTTCAAGATGATGTGTCTATAAAAAATAGCTACAGGTAGTCCTTGATAAGTGACTGGTTCATTTAGTGACTGTAGTTGTGGCAGTGTTGAAAAAGTAACTTTCTGACCAATCCTCGCATTTATGACCTTCACAGGTCTGTAAAGCAAAGGAAAGCTGAAGTAAGACCATAATCACAGTTGTGGTTTCACTTAGTGACTGCTTCACTTAACAACCAAGTTGCCGGTCCCAACTGTGGTCACTAAACGAGCACTACCTGTAGTATGTTTGAAGCATTAGTTAGAACTCATAAATGAATAACATTACAGCTAGTCCTCGACTTAGGACAACAATTGGGAACTTCCATCACTAAGCAATGCGGTCATAAAGTGTGACTGCATTGCTTAGTGATGGCAATCTTTCCCATCCGTGTTGCTGTCACTAACTGAATCCCACGGTTGTTAAGCAAGGCAACTTCCTGCCAGCTTCCCACAACCAAGATCAGTGGGGAAGCTGGCAGGAAGTTGCAAGTCCCAGGCCAGCAGGTAGGTAAGTGGCTGCTGCTGGGTTGGGGAGGGTGCATGGGGGTGCAGATGCCCGAGAGGTACTACATAGGTCAGGGAGGGTGTGCGGGGGTGCATGAATGGCCGATGCGGTGCGAGTATAGAGATGCTGGGAAGGGTGCATGGATGGGGGAGACTTACCCTAGTGACTTGCAACTTTTCCTGCCAGCTTTCCCACTGACTTCCCCAGTGATCATGGGGCTGCTGGGATGCCCGTAACTCTGAGGACTAGTTGTAATTACCATTGTTCAGTGCTGTCATAACATCAAATGGTTACTGAATGAATGGTCGTAAGTCAAGGACTATCTATGGGCTTTTTAACAGGTAGCTCTATGGCCTGCCATGATCTGGCCACACAGCAATAGTTTGGACAATACAGTGCTATGCAAATAAATCAAGGGAATGGGACCTGCCCATCCGTTGATTCTTTGACTTCTACTAAATTTTATTGGGCAAGATATGTAGGTTTCATAAAGAATTACACATACCCTGTGCATGCAAACCTTAATTCTTCCCCAGACATTAGCATCGACTAGAACAGCACGTTGCTCTACTCCTAAAATGTCCCAACTTAATACAATTCATCCTTACCAGGATGGGGGAGAGGGAGAAAGAAAAGATTGAAAAAGAATCCTTTACTAAGCAATTTAAAAGTGCATCACAGTTTCTTCATCTGCAAGGACAGCAAAAATTGTTTTACTGGGAGACCATATTGGCTAAAACTAATATATAGCTAAACAAAATTATTGGTTTTCTTACAAATATAGCTCTTTCTTGCAGTACAAAAGTGGAAGACCTGGCCAACTTACTAAAAGAGATTCTTTACCAATCTGAAGTCAATCCAAGAACTTATGTCATTTTTTCAAAGAGTAAACTAAGAGTAGATCTGATAAACATATGGTTGGGTTAATAGTCCCGAGAATCCTGTCCACTTCCTCATGAGTTATAGACTCAAACTCATCTCAGGTAAGCTTGTGCTTCCATCACCTCAACAGGACATGCCTAGCAACTCCAACTCCAAGCAAAGAGAGCCAGTTTCGTCTAGTGGTGAAGGCACCAGACTAGAAACCAGGAGACTGTGAATTCTAGTCCCGCCTTAGGCATGAAAGCTGGCTGGGTGACTTTGGATCAGTCACTCTCTCTCAGCCCAACTCACCTCATGGGGTTTTGTAGTAGGCAAAATAGGAGGAGGAAGGAGTATTAGGTATGTTTGCTGCCTTGAGTTATTTATAAAAATAAGAAAGGCGGGGTAACAAAAAAATCAAAGTGACTATCTACCAAATGCCTAGAGCAGTGTTTCTCAACCTCAGCAACTTTAAGATGTGTGGACTTCAACTCCCCAAATTCTCCAGCCAGCCATGTTGAAGTTGAAGTCTACACATCTTAAAGTTGCTGAGGTTGAGCAACAGTGGCCTAAAGTATGATTCACAATGGTCCTGTGGATTGTCCTGTGAGTTGTCCCACCCCAGCAAAGAATGGGTTACCTTGAAGAGGGCTGCTGGGTGGCTATCAGTGGATGTGATAAGAACAGAAAAATAACTACATTTTGCTGTTGTTATCACCCCAATGTAATCCTTAATATGAGGTTTTACCTATGCTCATTCTCTCTTTGTAGAATTAGAAATCGACACATTTGTTCACATTTGAATGCAGAGTTACCTTATTTATACTCCCTAAACTGTAGAAAGGCTCAGATATGATAATATGCATAGTCAGAGAAATATGCATAGTCAGAGAAATATGCATGAAAAAGCACATGGAATCTTGCACAGCCTTTTCTTTAATGAAAACTGATGCATAATTGTTATAAAGAGAAATGAAAACAAATCTGGAAGATTAGGGACTCAACACTCAGAAGCATACCCCACTGAGTTCAGTGGCATTTACTAAATCATCCCCAATAATAGGCTATCTAGGCCCTATTTAATAAGCTCTAGTGAAGGGGAATCCACCATTGTGGTGGACATTCTCCCACTGCTTAACAGCTCTTACCACCAGAACATGCCTCCTAATATTCGACTTGAACCATTAATGTCAGTCCACTGATCAGTTTCAGCAGACATCAGACCTGCCCTCATTAGTGCATGACAGCACTTTAACCATCTGTAGACTGCTATATGCATCTCCCCTTAGCCTTCTTTTTTGCAAGCTAAAGATATCCAGCTCCTTTAACCATGGCTGACAGAGCTTGGATTCAGACTCCTTATCTTCCTTGTATCCGTACTCTGAACCCACTCTGGCTTCTCCACATCCCTCTTAAAGTGCAGGATGCAGAACTGACACCAAGACTCCACACGTGGTTTAGTCAGTGCAAAGTTCCATAGAAGTGTTACTTCTCATCATCTGAATGCAATGCTTTGGTTAATGCAGCACCATTTGTTCTGATGTTAGAACAAACAGCAACTTTGTTCTCAGGACAAATAATTTTCATAGGTGGTGGGGCAGATTTTTCTTGGGTTGTGAAGCAAAATGTCAGTCTTTCTACTTACAGTATCAAGTCTGATTTGTTCTCCCATCTTGCCCACAGCTCTTTTATAAAGTAAGCTAGATATATTGGTTCTCTAAAATTTGTACTTGCATGATATATGCCATATTCATATATCTTAGTATATAGTTGAAAAAATGTGTGGCTGCCCTAGAAAATGGAAATAACTGGTTGGCTATATGGAGCAGAAACAGCATGGCTTCGAAATAATGCATGTTTCTCTGCTAAAACACAAAACCAGTAATAAGCACTAATGTAATCCGAATTCTAAATAAATCCAGAAGTTGATTATAATGAATATTTGATACTGTGGCATTTTCACGTGAGGTCCTTTGTTTCTTCAATGGAACATTTATTTTAGGAACACTTGGTTGAATAAGCTAGAAACCTACTCATTCCTCAAGAAAGAATATTGTGCCTTTGGAAGAAACAACATTTTCTAAATGGATTTTGCATAACTTTCTTATTGCTTTGATGCTGAATGTCACATTTAATATCAAACACAGCAGAGACACAAGCTGTTTATATCTTTTTTGTGTGAAAGGCTTTTGGTACTTAGATTTCTAAATGGAGGAATTGCTGGCAGAATATGATAGAGAAATGTAGAGACTAAATATGGTAAGTTGGAACCTATGTCCCAATGAATAGAACACTGTTCTTGGGATGGGTCTGTTAAGGAAAGAGAGGGAAGAGATGTTTATTGATTTCCGCCCCTGCATTATCTTAGAAACTATTCCAAAAGTTAAGAAGTCATCTGAAACAGTGTGCGAGATGTATGCAAAGCTGCAGAGGGAATAACTTCTACCTATTCACCCTTCCTCCAGTGGGAGCCTCTATTGGATTTCAGTCCTTCCTACAATGAGAGGAAGCTTTTATTTTTTGTTATTTATATTGTGCCTTTTCTCCAGGAGCTCAAGGCAACTTGAACTTCACTCCTTCCCTCAATTTTTCTCTCCAGCAACCCTCTGGGGTATGCTGGGCTGAGAGAAAGTGACTGGGCCAAAGTCACCCAGTGGGTTCCCATGACTGAGGATGGGACTTGAACCTGAATGTCTCTGGTTCTAGTCCAACACCTCAACTACTATACCACCCTGGCTTTTTATGAATTAAAGGAACAATCTTGATTTACAACTTATTTAACTGAGTTTAAGTTCTATATGGATCAGTGATCCAGCTAGAATTACTTTCTTCTATCCCCTTGGAGCTTGCTAGCCCAAGAGCTGTACCTAGTCTCTGTTGACAATAGTGGACAAGATGGTCTACATGTTTATGAAATACTTGCCTTTATTCTGTTTCACTCAGGGATTTGCTAGAATAAATATAATTTAAACAAATAAACTTGAAGAAAACATAATTTATTTTTGATAATGTTCTAATGTATCAATCAAGCATGTCCCTCCAAATAGCTTTTTCCACCTGACTACTCCATTGTAAACATCTCAAAATACATTACTCAGCCTTAGAAATGTACATTATTGCTGTATCAACTTGTGGTATTCTATTCCTGCTAGCGACTTTACATTGGGAACCCCCCATCCTCCCTGTATCTGTGGTCAACATAAAATCTGTCCATCAATTTCTTAGAACTGAAACAAAAGTTTTCAATCTACTTCTGCCATATTGTTAATGTTTTATCTGGAGTTTCCAATGGGAGAGACTGAAATTCCTATTCAGAGCTTATTTGAAGACAAATGGGATAAAATGAGAGAAACAAAAGTTCAAGGTATCAAAAATAATCTAACCAAGAGCAACTTCCATGGGCAATTGAAAAGAAAGGAAATTCTTGTTGCTGAAGATTTCACAGTTATCACATATAATCAAAGTTAACCTCCAGCATATAAACCTGCTATGCTTTCCATGAACAAGAATCAGATTTAGATGGGATAATAATCCAATCTAATAACTAAAATTCCTAGCCATAATTATCTGATCCACAGTGAAAACAAAAAGATATTCAAATAATCCATGTAGTATATATGGAATTTTTAAACTTCTGTTTATACCAGTAAAATATTTTATATATTTAGAGACCTAAGTGAGGGGGAAAAAAAACAATTAAAGCTCTAATTATTACCATGGAATTATTAGCCTATCAGAAGGCTATGGGACTAACTCTAATTAATCAAATACTGTGATAAATTACCAAACTGCTAACTGTGATAAACTACCAATATCAATAATTTTGGTATCGAAGGTATTCTTGGTCACGCATGGAAAAGCCATAGTATGTACAAATTCATTAATGTCTTCTTCTGTTACATTTAACTCAATATTATGCCGCAGTCAAGTTTTTTTTAAAGTTAATTTATTGAGTCTAAATCATGTTGACATAATATTACATTGTTACAATTGTTCCAGCTGAGAAACTAATAAAAGCCTTCGTGAAAGCCTTCGACAATACATTGAGAAACTAATAATTTGCCAGGCCTTTCACCTCATTCCCAATATCTTTGCTCTGTATGACTGAATATTTTGTTTCAACTACATAAACAGAATGAAGTTCCTGTTTGCATGCATTAAAACTTTATGTAATTCTGGCATTGGTCATATTATATCTACTCAGAAGTTTCTTAACTTTTAAAGATCTTGTTTATTTTTTTATTTTTTCCCATAATATATAAGTAATAATACAGCAATACATATAAGGCTTAAAAGCGCCCCAACAGAATGTTTATTATGATGACAATCCATCAGAAATCATTTATAGATAGCCAGTTGTTAATCTATAGAAGATGAAATACTATAGATCTATATTTAAATACTATTCCTATATAGGGTGCCAAACTCAAAGAAAAAATGAGCTGAATGTCGAAGAGTTTATGCCCAAAATGAGATATATTTTCATGGGCACGCCTCTGAAATAAACATGATTTTAGACAAAAGTACAGCTTCTGTGCATAAGAAAAATTAGAAGGAAAATTGGAACATATATTTTGTTTTAAGGACAGATTAAATGGAGTCACACTTCCATTTATACAGCAAGTCAGTACCTGAAATAGTGACATATTAATCGATATCTTAAACATGGTTTAAGAATGTGTAAATTTAATCTAAGATGTGTTGGGAATTATATATAAGATTGTAATGGCTTGTGTTGGGCTGATTTCTGAACATGTAGCACTGATTTTTCAAAAACTGGGAATGAGTTCCCTTGTTTCTAATCTAACTTGAAATTGCCATCAATGTCCCACTTTCCCAATATTACATACCTAGAGCTTTAAGTTCACTAAAAATCAGTTTCCACAGAACTACTGTCCTAACTCTTTACATTTTTCTCTCAATCAGGAGCATGCGTCCTGATCCGAAATCAGGGCCTTGCAACTGTGTCTGAGAAGGAAACTGAATCAGCCCAAGATAAATATTTCATTTTACAGATGTATAACCTTCCCTTTAACGTGAACCCTAAGCCTTAACAAAATCGTACTAAAATCAATAGAATATCATAGTTTGAAGAGGACTGGCAATATTTGGGTTTACTGGAATTATAGTGGTACTGTTTGTATTTCTTGGTTATTAAATATAACAACAAAGAGGCACCTTAAAGACTGCCGCATTTGTTTATGCAAGAGTGTTGTGGCTTTTTTCATGAAATATATGGAGTTGAAAGGTAATTAAAATTGATTTGTAATGCTTTATGGTGTTTTTCATGGACATCCTGTAAACTAATTTGGATTTTTAAGGCCAAGTGATTGTTGTTAATTTCCAAAAACCTCTCTTCTGGATTTCAGCTTTTGTGATTTTTTTTTATCTGAAGACTCAACAGCCAATATGGATCAGAAGCCAATAACTTATATACACTATTCAAAAGTTTACATAAGCAGTCCACAATTATATTGTCAACAATCCACTGTTTGTGTCAGATTGCTCTATTTATTTTCTTTTTTAAAATAATAATGTTATTATATTTTTGTGAAACTTAATACATTGTATTATTTCCATACAGTGGGATTTATATAGTATTGACTAAAGATTATTAACATTCTAATGTTTAGATAACTTAGACCATTGAATTTTAAAAAGGTAGAAATATTATATCAGTATTAATGTGTATTTGTAGTATTTAAAGTGTCAGTGTTAATGAGCATAAGATTATTTAGCTTTTTCATCCAGAATTGAATATAACTTTTAAATTCTTCAATTTGATACTTGTATCTATTGTACAATAAAGGTTTCTGTCTTAAGCTGATTACTTAGTATTAAAGTCTCTGCTATATTAATACTTAATATTATTTGTGCATGTTGAAAAAAAAAGGTTGAACAAGGCAAATTTGACAATCATTAAAGTACAATAAAAAAAGGAAGAGAAAAAGAAAAATACTATTTGGTTTCTAGTTTCCCCCTTTTTGAACTTCTGCTAATTTACAATATTTCTAAACAGAGGACGCTATTTGTATCTGAAGGCAAAGCCCTAGGCAGTTTTGCTGTTATTCTTAGGAATTAAAAAATTCTTAAGGGCTATGCACACATTAGCATTTGGGGAGAGGGAGGTGTACAGACAAGTTATTTTAAATGTTAAATGCTAAGTGTGAATGCACCGAACATGTATTTACAGGTTCATATATTAAAAGAAACCAGATACGATAGTCAGGAAAATATCATCTACTGCATCTGTATGTAATGTGTAATGTTTAAGTATATAATGAATCAGCACCAAGACAATTCTGTCCTGAGATGGAGTATCTTTAGTAGTCTTCTTCAGGCAGGGTCAGCACTTAAACAAGTCATTGTGTTATAGGGCAACTGCCTGAAACAGAACTCTACTCATGGAGATATTCTATGTAACGGAGGATTTTGGAAAGTCAGCACTTCTAATCCCCGTGAAAATTCTCCAGATAGGCCTTCATTATAGAGCTTTTACATCTGGTGGGCAATGCACAGATGGAACCAGCATGCTTGAACCCACTTATGAAAAGGGATAATTATGGCATTAAAATCTGGAAGAGTCTTCCAATTAAGGACATGTAGCATACTTAAGTACTAGTTAATTAGAAAAACAAATCTCATGGCACTTTAAAAATTAACCAGTTTTTTTTTTCTTGCTACTTGGACAAGTATAATGAAATATGGCACTCATTTATACAAAATACGCTGGGTTAAAAAAAGAAAGGATAGTCATATAACTCTATTAGAAATATATATGTACTTGAATAATATTTGTATTATATA